ATTTTTCATAAATTTACATTAAGTACAGTTACTTAGAAACCTCAAGATTGCATACCAATAGCCTTATAAAAGTGAATGAGCACGGCTAAGCGAGAAATGTGATTTGTTATAAAATAAATACTTTTATTACTTTCCCATAAATATTACAGACAAATTATAAATATACTCTCTCGCTCGTGCTGATTTTTCGATTACTTCTCGTTTTTTATATTAGCAGTTAGCATTATTTGGTCCTCGCACCAGCTTTGGTGCCCAAGTCACTTTTTTGCGAAGTACACAATAATACTTGCACAAAACATGTAGAAGGCAAAATAATCTAGTAAGATCTTATGCACCATAAACTGTACCGATAAATAAAGTTAAAAAAACAAGACTTTTTGCAATACATAATTTCAGAAATGAATATTAACTTTTATTTTTTTTGAAAACATTTAATTAAACCTACATTAGATTGTTTTTATGTTGTAACTACCGATATTAATTATATGAACGTTTTATCAAGATAAACAATTTTCCCAGTATAAAAATTCGACAAGTAAATATGTACATTTTTCATTATTACTTATTTAGACCGATAATTTACATTATGTAGGCCGCGATTACTCTCTAAAGTAGCCGATCTATTTTAGATATTTTCAACTACGATATTTCCCTTACCATAAACAGTTAGCCTGAAAACTAATGAGACCTATACTGTTAGAGTAAAAAATATTTTTTTTTCTCAAAACTATCTGAAATAATTTACTGACTAAAGGTTATATCAATCTATTATATTTAAAAGATTCTTTATACAAATTAACCTTATTAATTAAGTTAATAACTGTATTAGAATATATTTTTCATCGGAAAATTTCACGCACCGAAAAAAAAGTCCTTAAGTTTTCAGGCTCACTTTTTAGAACCATCATAATAATACGAGTGAAATATTTAAGCTAGCCAAGCAGACAGCGTTGATACATGCACTATACGATATATAAAATCTACTTGCAAAATGACAGCAATCCTAATATATATTCTGCATGCATACCAACAAATTTGACAACACATGGACTAATATATCATTAAGAGAACTAACTAAACAATATTAGATCAGCATAGGTAAGTTAATTTATCCAATTACATTTTAAAGTAATCAAAAGTGGTGCTTTTGAAAAATTATTATTAAAAATTTGCCTGTAATATAATATTAAATACATTTTAACACACGGTTAAACAAACTCTTCTAAATAATCGATCAAATCGTAGAAATTAAGCCTTCAGTTGAAATAAGGGTTGTATTTTTGTAAGATGCGTATAGAATTTTGTGGCTGTGTGTTTTTATATTTTATACAATTCTTTATTTATTAACTTTTGTAATACGCCATAATTTTTATTTAATTACTAAATTATACAATAAGATAGAAGGAAATAATAAAACTTAAGTATAGTTGAGTTATATTCAATTAATTATATTATAGTTTAATATATTTTTTTCTGTATTGGTTGTTCCATTATACACTCAGAGGCACCTTAAAATTTTTAGGTATTTTAAGTTTTATATAGTGTTCTAGTGGATCGATTTTGATGATTTTTTAAGGAATTTGTAGCTAAATTATTTGACTTTCTAGTACCTCTTTCTAAATTAAAAATTAAAGTTTCCATCTGTAAATTATACGAGGGAAAACAAAATGATGATATTTTGGTGACAGTTTGAAAAACCCTGTGGAGTACGTTAACAAAGCAAGAAATTTAAAAATTATTTTATCATCCAGGTGTAGACTTTTTAACGAGAGTTTGCAAAAAAATAAACTCTATATTATAAGTGTGCTTTTGAGGACCCAAAATCTATACTGAAATTGTAAATCGTTAATGTCTTATTCAAAAGCGAATATCTCGAATAAAAATAAAGTTATTGAGATGAATCAAAAAATAAACTATCGAGAAAGGAAAATTTAAATTCCTTGCTTTCTTCACATATTCCACAGGATGTTTCAAACTTTCACCAAAATATCAACATTTTGTTTTCCCTCGTATAATTCCCAAATAGAAATTTTCATTTTTAATTTAGAAAGAGACACTAAAAAGTCAAATAATTTAGCTACAAATTGTTATTGCTTAAAATATCATCAAAATCGGCCCACTAGAACAAAATTTATTAAACTTTAAAATACATCAAAATTTTAAGGTGCCCGTTCTTCGTGCCGGTGAGTGAAAGAATATAATTCTTAAAAGAAATATATTTTTGTCACAAACCTTTAAAAGGCTGTTAAATATATAATAATAATGTTGTGGTTAAGATCCAAAACACTTTAAGTACGTGATGCTTAAATTGACACAAAAATCTGTGTATGTTCTAATGATAGAAGGAAATATAATGTAACAAATTAATTGCTGAATTGCAATTTATATACTATTAATTTGTTATAACTTTCTTATATGTGTGATGACCAATTATTATTTAATAAATATTAATATATGTCAAATCCTTTATAACACGGTTTGCAACTGCACTCGACAAAAGCAATATCGTTATATATTAAAGGTTTAACTTACCAATACGGACCTAAAGTAATATAACATTTGAATAACAAAAATTATGCTAATAAACGAAGATAGGAATTATTTTACCTTCAACGATTCATTAAAATGTATCTTCATAAAATTTGTTAAAATAATAAACGGTTTGTACTTTGAAGCATTTTTCTAGACTTGCCACTTTTACTAGTCATCCGAAAATTTAGTAGATCTTTTATTTTACTAAGTTTCAATTAGAGCGCACATCTTGAATGATAATTATTTATTGCTCTCGTGTTTTATTGCAAGTTTTTTATTTCTTTTCTAATATATTTTCGGATATACTATTATAAAAACTTCCGAATGAAGTTTGAATCTTCTGAGGTATAAACTTTCTAGTGGCTACTGAGAGATTTTGTACGTCCGTTTCTAAAAGGCTCAAGAGTGTAGCAATTTTGTGAGACATATACGGTGTTTAAAACTGATATATAGTTGCAGAGTTTTGACGAAAACGTATCTTGTCTAAGTACGTCAAGTACTTGAAACATTACTAGTACATGCAGATATCAGAGAGAAACGAAACTTGAGCTTCATCGTTCGAAATTCCCAAAATAAATAGATAACTTCAAGTAATGGTAATTTAGGGATCAAACAATATCTACATGGTGGAATATTGAAAATATTAGCTCATTTAAATACTTTTTTTGCTTTCTTACAGCATCAAGTTGTATAATTTATACATCAATATAAAATGCATTGAAATTAGTGATTGAAATCTTATTATGTCATGAGGGAAGAAATTATTGGACTGCGCATCCAGTTACACCAATGAAACACTCAACAGTCGTACTAAATACAGTTTTAAGAACAGGACATACGATTACATTTGGCTACTGGGACACGGGAACATGTTATGGACTTTTTGAGGAATATGACAGAAAATATATAATATTTTGTTTCAGAAAAAATCCAAATATAAATCATATGTTAAAGTAAGATATTTATTAACTTCCCCAAAGAAGAATTAGGAAAATGGAACGCCACTTCATTTACACATGAATCACATTTGAAAAATCACTTTTAAAACAGACATGGAGTTTTTGAAGTTTGAAACTAAAATCAAGTCACATATTTTCAAAATGAAGCCTGCCTATATACAGGGTGTTTAATAAATATGGGTCATCTCTCGTGGTCCTACATAAAAATAAGATTTATTTTCCATATCACCATAGGTCCGATTCTGCTTTGTTTCGCAGCTACAGGGTGTTAGTCTTAATATTTTTTCGATTTATTATAATTTTCTTCGATCACTTTTTTCAAACTTTTACTTTTATTTTGTACAAGCAATTCGAATGAAATTTTGAGGGTAAAAGTTACTATAACTGCGACATATATTAATGCTAAAAAAGTGTCGATATATTTACTAGGGATGTGCATATGGGTTATCACTGGAATATTTTTCTAAAAAAAGCATGCACGCCACTAACTTTGTTCTCTCTTGTTAGAGAAATAGTGTAAGCCGTTTAATGTCGATTAAAAGTTGTCTCTTGATATTTTATCGATTTCGGCCTCCTTAATGAGATAAACGCAATTTACTAATTTGCATCATTACAATCATTAACTTGCTTAAGTTTTAAATAAGTACTCTGATTTCTCATCAAAAAATATGAAAAAAAGTTGCTATAAACACGGGTATAGAAATGCATAGGTTTAAAGTTACAGGATGTCAAACTTTTTAAAATTAGGTCTTTTAACCTAGATAATATCTTCTAACCTTTAGGTAATTATCGTAAATAACATTACATTTTTATTTGAATTTGCTGTAGGTTGGACTAATAGTAATAATAACTAATAGTAATACTATTTAATGATAAATTAGATAAAATAAATAATTTATTAATTTTATTTTGATTTTAGTTTTATTAATTGTGATAAATGTTAATAAAATTGCATTTATCTCATCAAGGAGATCGAAATCGACAAAATATCAAGATATAACTTTTAATTGGCGTTAAACGGCCTATACAATGTTGCTATCAAAAGAAAAAAAAACAATGGCGCACATATTTTCGAAAAATATTAGAGTGATAACCCATATGCACGTCCCTGACGAATCTGTAGACACTTTTTTAGCATTAAAATATGTAGCACTTATAGTAGCTTTTACCGTCAAAATTTAATTCGAACCACTAAAAGTACTTGGAAGAAAATTATAATACATAAATCGAAAAAAAAAGAAGACTTTAACCCCCTGTAGCAACGAAACAAAGCAGAATCGGACCTATGATGAAATCTTATTTTAGGTGAGGTATCTCCCCATCAGAGATGGCATATGGTTTTTGAAACACCCTGTATATGTTTTTCTTTGATGACGGTGACGTAGTAAATATTAGAATTTTTTCGCATTTTTAAGCAAATGCATCTCCTACCAATGTTGGAAAAACTTATTTTGTGTTTTTCAAAGTTGTACAAACTTATTAGAAGCTTTTTTCACGCTTTTTTCCAACTCCAACTAAATAATAATTTTACATTAAAACATATTGACGGAATTTATAAGAGTATTATGAAGTGACGTTTTCCGTTTTCCTTTTAATTTAGGGCACTTTGCTGTTTTAATTTCCTAAAAACTAGTACTTAAATCATATTTTAACTAAATATAAAAACTTAAAAACGGACCTCTGGTAAAAACTTCATTAAGTTCCTTTGTCAATTACGTAAATCGTTTACAAAAAAATATTTAGATTAACCACCAAGTTCCAGTGTTTACTTATGTCTAAATCTACATTATCAAAATCTTAAATTTACCGAAGTATAAGCTATAAACTTACTCTATTTAAATCCGATACATTGTCATTTATTTCTAAAAATGTATATTACCGAAAGAGATTGCTTGAATTCTTAGAAAATGATTCTCGTACGTACACAACCATTTAAGCAATTATTAGTTACTTATGGTACATGCAGTAATATCGACTTTAATCTTAAAATATAGCTATATCATCACAATAGTTGCTTCACATGTCACGTTTAGAGGACTTAAAATGAATACCTACTAAAAACTAACAAATATATAATTGTAATAAACAAATAACATAACGATTTCATAGTAAACAAATAACTAAGGAGTAAAGAAATTGCCTTTATAAATATATTTCCAATTAAGTGGATATACATAACGTATGGGCAAGTATTCTACCTTTACGGTATTTTCTAAACATCAAAAATAAATGTGGCTAAAAAGGTAACAAAGTAACAAATAAACTAAAGCTAAATTTTCATGTTAATTAAGAAAATTAACGAGTCCTAGTCAATTGCAATTGACAGAACTCATTTAGGCGCAATCCAGCCAATTCTCTCCATAGCAAGCCAAGATCTAAGTCCATGGAATTAGACGAACAGTCATAACTAGTGGCCGGTGGTGATTCGCTGCTCCTAGTAGGAGTATAGGTATTTCTCGGCGGCGTTATTGCCTTTCCCGGGGCATTGTTATAGTTGTTATTATTATAGCCAAATAAATTAACGGACTGATTCGGAGGACTTATGAGTCCAGAACTTATGTTTGACTGAGATGGACCTGGTGGAGCTAACGGCGAGTGCGGCTTAATTCCGCGGGAAACCGCATGCTATGGCCACAGAATCGACGACTGTGACATATGGCGGGTAAAGCAGAAACTCAGCGGCTTTACAAAGTGGGTGTCCAATGTACGGCAATGTGGACACGGAACCATGTGACTATAGTCACTGAAGAAGTTTAGACGTTGGGATGGATGAAGCACGGGCTTGTAGCATGAATTACACTGAAAAAGAAACATAATAATTAATAATAAAATTAAGTTCATAGATATTTTCAATATAAGTAAAAATAGTAGATTAATTTAAGTATAAGAAAATCTAATACTTTTTATTATGTTATTTGTATATATACTGGGTGTACTTTTAAATTGAAACTGAATAGGAAACAATGCAGATATGTTTAAACAAACATACACGAGAGAGCTGAAGAAAATAAGATGACGAATAAAAGGGATCTGGATAATTTGTGTCACGTAGAAGAGGAAAACAGGGATTGCCTATATGTTTTCAACAACGATGCACCACCCGGTATATTTAATATCATATTTATTGTTATCCAGTAAAAGTTGTAAAAAATAATTTATAGTGTTATAATAATTACTTTTTTAGTAACTTGTAGTATAACCTTGTCTATTATATCTTTGCCAATAAAGATATAGAAATATCGGATAAGGCGGCATATACCGTATGATCAAAAAAAAAACGGTGTCCAGTTAGGTTGGAAATGATCATCAGTCCCATATTATTTTACAAATAAAGTGACAGCGATCTTTTTAGATCTTATGGTATAAGATGTTATTGCATGTATCTGTTTTGGTAATTTCCTAATTAACATTCCTGGCCAAGTTTGTGGCGTTAAAATGCGTCTATCAAAAATAACATTACATGGATTGATCTAAACTTGTCTATGATTAACACATTCTTTTTTTGTATTATAAAAGGGGGAGCCTTAATTTTTATTGTATTTACAATAAAAATGACTTCATGTAATTTTTATACTTTATTCTCCAATTTTGTTTATTTCTCAATACATAACAACTAACAACACCATAACAACAAGCTACCCATAATTCTATGCTTCCAGGAAGGAGTTGTCAGCCTAGTTTTTGGCGCTATATTTAAATAATTCTTACAACTCGACCATCCTGACAATTAGAACGACCTCGTTCTATCCTAACGTTAACATAATTCTTTAGGTTACATAAGAGGTTACATAAGCAATTCATAATCAAAAAATTTAACATAAGAGACATAAGAATTCTGATCATAACACATAAGTATCGTAATACATAAGATTAATTCTAAACATAATATTTTTATGATTTCATAACATCATATCATAAGTAATTCATAAACTAATTGCATAACATAATCTTTATGACTAAACTAGAAACTAGTACATATTACTAATAAAACTAATTCAGTACATCATAACATAATTTTCATAACCAAAATCATAAATTTTTGCATTATATAATCATAATGTTTCATAAATTATCTCATGTGATTAAATTTTAAATTATTTTTCATAAGTCAAAATAAAATAAGTCAATCCAATATTATATGACTCTTTCAGGAAAATAAGTTAAGTAAAATCAATTTGGGCAGATTCAAAATATTAACATTGGTCAAGATTTTGGTCAATGGCTTTGTCAATAGTGTCAGATAATTTTAACCATAATTTCAAACTATTTGAATCAAAAAATACCTTCAAAAGGTCTTTGAGTTACCTGGAATCCTTCAATATCAGTTATTAAATATCTGTCATTTGGCAGACATTTTTTATTACATAAGGACCTTTATACTTTGGTAATAACTTTTTATTGATACCTGGAGTCACATCTACATTAGGTATCATCACATAATCACCTTTACTATAAGTTTTACCTTCTTTATGCTTTTTGTCGTAATAGTTTTTATTATATGATTGGATTTTTTCAATATTCCTATTTGCCTTATCTCTAGATCATCAGGGTTTGTTTCTTTTTCCTTAGGTGATAAAAGAAATTGTTTTAAATCGTCATTCATTAACCCTTCCTGTGGAACTCCGAATAATAGCTTCGCAGGGGTTTCTCCAGTGGTACTATAAACACTATTATGTACAGCAAATTCAACGTCATTTAAGATATTATCAGCCCATTTCTCTGGAGTTTCTGTTAATTTGGCAATCATAGGAATAATACATTTATTTAATCTTTCTACCTGACCATTTGCACGTGGAACACCAGTCGCAATTAATACATGTTTTACATTATAATTTTGAAGAAATTCTGAAAAATTCTTAGAGGTGAAGGCAGAACCTCTGTCTATGATTATTCTAAGTGGTTTACTATAATCAGCAAAATATTTCCTTAAGTATTTTATTACCTCAGTTGAATTGGTAGTTTTACATGCGTATATTTTTACAAATTTTGTAAACCCATCAATTATAGCAAAAATAAATCGATTTTTCTTTTCGCTGGTTTTTGCTAAAGGCCCGCAATGATCTAAATGTAATGTAAGGAATGGTTTATTTCCCTTAGGTATATTATGTAAAAAACCCTCTTTTTTTTCCACTTACAGGAGAATAAGTAATACATTTTAAACAGTTTTTTATATATTCATCAACTTTAGTTCTCATGTTTGGAAACCAATAGAGTTCTTTTATAGCATTAATACATTTATCAATACCTACATGTCCTAAATCATCGTGACAACTTCTAATTACATTTAATTCCATAGTGTTAGGTACATAAAATAGTAAACGTCTATTTTCTTTTTTATAAACAAGATTGTTATTGATTTCAAAATCTTTACTTTCAGTTTCTCTAATTCCTCTCTAATTTTGTTAATTTTTGAATCTTGATATTGTCTAATGCTAAGATTTGTTTCAAAAGGTGTCTCTTCTAGTACTAAAACATTTTGATAGCATCTACTTAAAGAATCAACATGTTGCATATTACTTCCACTTCTATGTTCTAAAAGTATAGTCATAATTTTGTAAAATAAACTCCATCTCATTATTTTCGGGTTAATGTCTTTCTTCTTAAGTGCTAAAGTGATACTATTACAATCTGTATAAATTTTAAATTTAATGCCTAGTATATAGACATGAAATCTTTTAATGCTATTTATTATGGCTGCTAATTCTAAAATAAAACTATGTTGCTTAGACTCTGATTCTGTGGTACGTTGGCTATAATAAAATACTGGATGGAACTTTAAATCTTTTGTTTTTGCATTAAAATACCGGAATAACCATGCGAACTAGCATCACAATGAAGCTGAGTTTCTGCTTTAGGTGAGTATAATGCTAAAACTGGTTTAGACATTAATATTTCTTTTAAATTATTAAAACTAGTAAATTGCTCAGATCCAAAATTGAATTTACTGTTTTTTTTAGTTAAATTATATAATGGGCCAGCAATGGTTGAGAAATTTGGAACAAATTTTCGAAAGTAAGAGGTCAAACCAATGAAACTTTGAACCTGTTTTACATTTTTTGGCACTGGGTAATTTTTAATTGCTAATAAATGCTCATCATTCGGACGAATTTCTTTTTCATTAATAATATATCCTAAATATTTTATCTCAGTATATAAAAAGTACATTTATCTATTCTCAAAGTCAAGCGATTTTCCACTAATAGTTTAAAAACATGCTTTAAAATTGAGATATTTTCTGGTATAGTTGTAGTTGGTATTAAAATATCATCAAAATAAATAAAAATTTTATTTAGATCAATAAGTTCTTTAAATATTTCGTGAATGTACCTCATAAATACAGAAGGAGAATTTTTAAGACCAAATGGCATCTTTAAAAAATTCGTATTGAGCTACTGGGGTTACAAACGAAGTATATTTTATCGAATCGTGTTCAATATCAACGTGATAAAAAAGCACTTTTAAGGTCCAGGGTTGTGAAATATTTTTGACCTTGTAATTGAATAATTTGATCTTCAATCAGGGGAATAGGAAAGTTATCTCTTACAGTAATTTTATTTAAAGCTCTAAAATCAGGACACAATCGATAATCATTAGTTTTCTTTTTAACTAGAACTATTGGAGAGCTGTACTCCGAAGTACTTTTTTGTATTACATTGTTTTCTAACATGTCGTTAATCAAATCTTGCACTATATTTTTTTTCATAAAAAGATAAACGTCTAGGTTTAAAATAAAACGGAGTATGATTTGAATTAACTACTATTTTCATTTTAATTTTAGATTCTATTTTTTCAGGTCGCTCAGGTTGTATATAATCTTGAACAAAAGATCAACTAATTTTTGACGATTTTTGCATCAATTTCAGAATTTATATTTAAATCAACCTCATTTTGATCAATGTAATCAATTTGTAAGATTTCATTATTTTCCTGATTTTCCAATAAATTATCATTTAATACTGATTTTATTTTGACTTTTCCAGACTCAAAAATTAAAGAAATATTTTTATTTGTCATAAAATTTCTACCTAATAGACATTTAACAGGTATAGCATCATCTGGTACTATATAAAATAAAACTTGGACATCTATGCCTTCAACATATACTTTAAACATTATTGAACCTATAACATCTAATTTAGATTTATTAACACCCTCAAAATCTACAGATGGGGCTTCTGAGATTTCAAAATTAAATGGTCTGATTATGCTATTAGTAATAATAGAAATTACACTACCTGAATCAAGAGTACCTTCGATAAATAATTGTTTACTGTCTTTTACAAGACACAAAGGCAAGGTGAATCTATCAGGGAATTTGTTCTCGACCATCAATGCTTCTTTCTCTTCAACTTCTTTCTTGGATGTAGAGGCTCTTTCTCCTTTAATCTTTGGACAGTCTCTTATTTTATGTTCCATTGAGCCACAATTGAAACACGAGTTTCTAGGCATCACCCTCACTCTAGGCATCTTTTTGCATTGCGACGCCAAATGTCCTAGCAAATTGCAATTGTAACACTTAATGGTTTTATTATTAACTTGATCTAAACTGGTAAATTTCTTCAGAGATGCTTCAATTGTCTTCTGTGGTTTTTAATTTCATTTTTTCTTTCAGGCAATCTATTTTTCCTCGCAGTAACAATTCTCTCGTATGCTATAATGTCCTGGTATAATGCATCTTCATCTATATGGAATTTGGACATGACAAAATTACTTAATTCTCTGGACCATAATCCAATAGCTATCTGCTCTTTCTCTTCTTCGAATGATAAACTTAACTCTTTGCATAATGATGCTTTGGAATGAAAATATACGCTTACATTTTCATTGACAGACTGTACCCCTCTCTTGCATTCTTTTCCATAATTCGGTTTTATTCTTGGTAAATACAAATGTTTTAATAAAAGCCATGCGGAAGGATGACCAATCTACAACTTCACTGCTTCGCCCTGAATACCAATGGCGTGCAGCACCAATCAGATTACTTTTGGCTGTTTGGAAAATAAACGCATCTGGCCAATTGTGAAGTGTTGCGGCAGTTTCCAACTGCTGTAACCATAACTTAGCTTTACTTGGCTCTTCTTCAGCACTGAATATTTCTATAGTTTTCGAGAGATCTGGCATTACGTTATAATTTCGAACTGGAGATTCTTGATTTGGCGCATGTAATGGCTGCTGCTGTTGTTTTTTGTAGCATTTGCAACATCTGAGTATTTTGTTGCAATAAGGTTGTTATCGTATTCATAAATTGATTAATATTAGCATTACTGTTTGGATTTTCTTCAGCTCTATTTTGCACAAATCTTTCAAAATCATCAGCAGAAAATTGGTGACTCTGGTTTTCGTCTTGATCTTCCATTTTATTTATTGCCGGTAATCTTCAAACTATTGTTATAACTTATCACTCTTCTTCTCTTCTTGGGGACTACGCAGATTTAACCCCACACCTGAAGTTATAAAGGGGGAGCCTTAATTTTTATTGTATTTACAATAAAAATGACTTCATGTAATTTTTATACTTTATTCTCCAATTTTGTTTATTTCTCAATACATAACAACTAACAACACCATAACAACAAGCTACCCATAATTCTATGCTTCCAGGAAGGAGTTGTCAGCCTAGTTTTTGGCGCTATATTTAAATAATTCTTACAGTATTAAGAAGTATGTACTGAGTTTATGCCGTATAAAGTATATTAAGAATTTAAGAAAATGCAGTTTAATTTGTGCCACACAAAATAATTATACAACATTTGGTTGCGGGCGTGGTTTAACCTCAGGTGATGGCTTGTTTAGCCACTGAAGCAACTAAATTATATAACAACATGCGGTTGACAGTGGTTAATATATGGGATTTACCCAACGACGCTTGGATTTGCCAATGTCGTTTTTTTTTGGAATATGCTATTTGAGATTTAGCATCCAAATTTATTAAGGGCGTAGTTCAGAAACCATAAGTCCGGGACCAAAAATGTATAGAATCATTTTTATAGAGAATTCTTCAGCTTTATTTTTGTATATAAAGTATTTTTCAGTAGACGTCATACATTCCGAGATGTAAGCAAAAAAGAGAGAGTGAAAAACCTGACATTTAACTTTCCCCCCTCTTCGAGCTCATCGTCTGTCCTCGGGGACTGTTTGACACAAATATCAGTCCAAGTCTAGAGGAAACGTTTAAAACCATTTTCAAAACTATGGGAATTTTATCCATCGATTTGGCTAATTTGACTGGGCATTTTATCAACCTTTCGGTCTGTGTTTCAGGTCTGTCCAACATTCTGGTATGGATTTCGGCACTTCGCGTTTTAGAATAAACTAGTATTTTCTTATAACAGATACGTACCGTAACAGATATATAGAAGGGACAAAAAAATATTGTTATTTTGATATTTTAGTATCGATATATATAGAGTGTTCTTTATTATCGTTTTTGTTATCGTTATGGAATGACATGCTAATATTTAAGGGGGATTCTTGGACCCGACATTCTATACCAACTTCAATAAATGTGTGTCCTAAACATATTATGATATTATCCTTTCAGATATCTCCTCTCTCTCCTCCTTCCTATTACTCTATAAGAGTATGGTGACATTATGATATTGCATTTATTGTCTCTCCATGTTGTTCTGTCTTGCGCAGCAGTACTGGCCTCGTGCAGACTGTGACCTATTATCGTCTTCATTTGGTCCACCCAACGGTTTGGAGATCTCCCTCTAGGACGTTTCCCGTTTACTTTCCCCTCCACAATTAGTTTTTCTAGGCCATTGGTGTTCCGGGATATGTGGCCAAAGTATCTTAAGTATGATTGATTTATTGATATCGACAGTTTGGATTAGTTATTATATATTATTAGTTTACGATATTCAGTTGTTCGAGTATTGAAATGTTTGTACGGTGAGCTGTGTACGGTATTCACAGCAGCCGTCTATAACACCACATTTCAAAAGCATCGATTTTAGTTTCATTGCCAACTTCAATATCCAGATCTCTGAGGCGTAAGTTGCAATGGGGAAAATTAGGGCTCTTAGTAGTCTGAGTTTGTTTCTAATTGAAATGGCTGAATCTTTCCATATTTTATTGAGTATGGTCATGGAATTACGTGCTATACACAGTCTTCTCTTGATTTCTATGTCACATCCTCCTTTGTTTGATATCAAGGAGCCGAGATATATATATATATATATATATATATATATATATATATATATATATATATTGATCTAGAACTTCGAAACCTGCTACTTCTGTTGTAATCGTGGGTTCTCGATCGATAATCATTAATTTTGTCTTTCTTTTATTTAGTTTTAACCCATATCTCTCGCTTACAACCTCTAATTTATGCATAATGGATTTAAATTCATTAGCGGAGGATGCGAGTATAAGTGTATCATCTGCGTACCTTAAATTTGTTATTTGTTTACCGCCTATAGTGATACGGCCGTCCATAACTTCCCTCATTATAGATTCGCCACATATATTGAAGAGTAAGGGATATAAAATGCATCCCTGGCGCACTCCCGCTTCCAAGTCAAATGCATCTGAAATGGTGTTATTTACTCTTACTTTTCCTCTGCTGTTCTCATACAGACTTCGGATCAGCTGGATAAGGTGTTGAGGGACCCCCATGTTTTCTAGTACAGATTGGTACAGACCAAAGTTTGCTCCACTTAATACAATCAAATGCTTTGCTGTAGTCCACGAAACACAGATGAGTCGGGATGTTAAACTCATACGCTTTCTCGATAATTTGTCGGACGTTTAATATTTGCTCTTTAGTACCTTTGTCGGGCATGAAACCTGTTTGCTCTTCAGATATTTATTTTAGAATAAAGTATTTTAGACGGCTATTGATAATGTGTAGCAGTACTTTGCTAGTGTGATTAATAAGCGCTATCGTTCTATAATTAGCGCAGTCAGTAGGGCAGCCTTTCTTGAAAAGTGGTATAAACAGTGATTCGCACCATTCTAGCGGCCATCTACCAAATTCCCATATGATAGAGCATAGTTTGTGGATGATCTCTGTACCTAGCTCACCCCATCGCCTTTATAATTTTGCCTGTAATATTATCCACACCAGGTGCCTTTGAGCTCTTTAACGATTTAATAGCCTTTTCTATCTCAGCCTTCATTATGGCTGGTTCTTTTTCTATATTAAGTGCGAGTGTATGCGAATTAGCTGGTTCAAGGTTTCTATATAGCTTCTCACAATATTGTTTCCATACTTCAGCTATACCTTCTGGATTTGTCACCGTCTCACTTTTATTATTTCTTATTATCTTAAGCTTATTATCTTATCCTTTCAGATATAGGTTGGTAAAAATTTCTGTTTATTTTTCAAAATATGTCTGATGTCTATGTTTGATACACGTCTGCCATGCATCAAAATGCATATTTTGATATACAAAAAAAAAGGTTTTATTTATTAATTTTCTTCCAGCCGATGTATACCTTTCAGCGATTTGACCCTGAAGTAAACTGATTTTATCTTTTTTAAGCAAAAACTATGGTCGGAGGAAAAAAAACCATGAGATAAAAATTGTTTAGAAATGAATGGAGATTTCGAAAATAATTTTTATTTTAAGAAGTTAGTGGTGTACCATTTTTTTCTTCAAAAATATTCAATGTGAAATCCGCATAGACGACACTGGTTGAAATACATAAAATTGTTAGTACATCAAAAGAGCTCTTTTTTGATGCATAGAAGACGTGAATCAAGTTTCATAAAGGTCGAGTAACTGATGTTGAATTTCAAATAATTGAATTTAGGGAACTATTTTCAGGTCATATATATCATAATATATTCACCCTGGAAATAATAACAATCATACTAAATACAATAAACAATACCAATTTACCAGCTAAAATAAAAATTGTTTAAAAATATAGAACAAAATTTATCAAATGAACGTGGCCAAAAATATGTCAAAATTTCAGAGAACATGTAAAACATGTATTTGAGAGAATATGTCAAACTTTCATTATTTAACGTCAAATAGGTTGATATTTGTAAACTAACTAATTAGAAATTATAATTTCCATCGATTTTCATCTAAAAATTATTCTGATTTATTAAAAATTAAATTCTAGACTACGGGGTCCCTCAAAACTGATTTTATGGTATATAGAGTGTCTAGAATGTAGAATGTTTAGAAGGGGAGTTAATCATATAGAGTATCTAATAGAATAAAAATGCCTAATAGAGATACTAACCTTAATTCTCTCTGTGCAGCACGGCATGGCGGCAAATATATCGTAGGAGTACATACTGCCCAAAATTAGAGAAGAACCGTCCCATTTTTGATTGCAGAATCGACATAAAATGGTACGTCCGTTGACTCCTTCGAGGCATGCCATACATACAACTGTTAAGAATTGGGTACGACCTTCCACTTTTACCTGAAAACGAGTGTTCATTTACATCATATTTCAAATACTACACTCAGAGATTTGCTTAACAATTATCTATAGTGTGACAATTTTAAAAATGGCAATCGGGAGCATCTCTTAGGTCTCAAGTATACAGGGTGGTCCGAACTGTATTCCGGAAACTTCGGCAGCATATTCTGCATACAAAAATAAGTAAAAAAGTTGTTATAAATGTATGTTCTAAAATGCTTAATTTCCGAGATACAGGGTGTAGAGATTTCATTTTTATTTCGATTTTTTCCACATAATTTCTGAAGTAGCGTGAATATTTTGATGAAAATTCGTGTCTGGAAGTGTTTTGGCATGATAAATTTGATTTTGATATCAATATGACTCCTATTTGCAGGGGGCGCCACCTACATGTGTTTTAACTGTTTTGAAGGGTAATAACTTTTCGTCCGTACCTGTATAAAACTACTGAGTGAAAAAATATACATTTTCGTGATTTTTTACGTAAAAAATATCTCTTGGTAAAAAACGCTACGAGCAACCGTTCTCAAGATATTTACAATGGAAATAGTCAACACTAGTTGAGTAGATAGTTATTTGACTGAAATGATAAATTTGTGAACTTTTTATTTTTTTTAATTAGTTATAAATTTTACTTCGAAAAAATGATGACAAAACAGTTTCTGTTGAACTTTTGACACCAAAAAAATCAAATTTATGATTTCAGTCTAATAACTATTTAGTCAACATGTATAATTTATGTCATTGATGACAGGTATTGATAATTTCGGTTCCAAATATCTCGAAAATCATTATTTGTAGCGATTTTTGCCAAGAAACCCTTTTTACGTAAAAAAAGTCGCAAATGTATATTTTTTACTCACTAGTGTTATACAGGTACGGATGACAAGTTATTACCCTTCAAACCTGTTAAAAAATATGTAGGTAGCGCCCTGTACAATTAGGAGTTATATTGACATCTAAATCAAATTTCTCATGTCAAAAAACTCCCAGACACGAATTTTCATTCAAATATTGACGTTACTTCAGAAAATATTTAGAAAAAATCGAAATAAAACTGAAACTTCTACACCCTGTATCTCCGAAACAAAACATTTTAGGACATATATTTATACAGACTCTTTTACTTATTTTTATGTGCAGAATATGCTGCCGAAGTTTCCGGAATACAATTCGGACCACCCTGTATATCGGGGTGGGGGGTAGAGAGATATCGGTTTTATTGATGTTTATTTGAGACCTTTATGATAAAATTGTTAGTCTAACAAACAGTCAAAATTATAGATTTCAAATATGTTGCTTAGCTTTAAACAACAATATCTCAAAAAATAGTTATATGAATTAAGATTTTGCTATGACTGTAAATAGAGAGTATCTATTTTTTTTATCATAAAGAGGGTATTATACATTCGTATAATAAAAAAAATGGAGTGGAATAGTTTCTATACAGGGAATCTTAAGTACGTAAGTGCAAATATTTTTAGAGGTAGTATATTTGACTCCAGAAACAAGTCTACGTGGTCTTTTCTGGAACATTTTTTTTGAAAATTATTTTTTTTAAATTTTAGTTAAAAAACATAATATCTTGCTAATATGGCAACACAGGTAATAAATTAAATTTGCAATAAAGAAACCCCAGAAAAATCCAGTGGTTGTTCTCAAGATTCAAGTAAAACTCATTTTTTGTAATTTTCATAAAATGTGCTGACAAACATTTTATATCAAATAATTATATAAAAAATATAGGTTGCTCGCCTGTCGCAAGATTTTATTAGAAAAATACAATTTGGCTGGTCTGTAATGTTACCATGATTATACGTATATTCGATAAATAATGAATCTTGTTTTTAAAATGCGAAAGAAAACTAAATTTAAACAAAGTTTTAACATAGAAAGCGTCTCATTTAGATGGTCTTATCAATTACCATAATATCCAAAATGAATCAAAATTACTATAATTGTCTTCATACTTCATAGAGTTAACTGAACTTATGAAGCAATTATTGGTTCCATTATTGGTTGTTTAGTTCCAGTAAATTGTATGAGTATGTTGCTTGGGGATACTCGAATTAATTTAAGTTAATTACAAAATCGCTATCCTAATTTATTGTTTGTTGTCCTATTGTTTAAATTTACTACGTTTGTTAAGCCATCTCTATACATTTATATACTTAATAATATTAATATATTTTACCTCAATGCATGACTTTGCATGTTGTCTTGGACTAAGAAAGAAAGTGCCATCAATTAGAGGGTAACGATCAAAAACTAGTAGTTGTTCTTCACACAAAATGCAATGAACTTTTGGTCTTCCTTGCGATGCCAGAGTGGATAGTATAAAACAACGAGTGTCGTCATTTCCGTGGTTGCCCTCATCCTCAGTCTGAAAAAAAAAATATTGTATTTAGAATTAAACCTCTTATATATGTATTGTTAAATCTGCAAAAACGTGTCAGTATAAAACTGTGATTACTCTGTAATCTTTTAATAAATTGTTGTCTGTTTAAAAGTTGTTTTGATTTTATATATTTATTGTTTCTAGAGAGAAGACTAAACAAAGATTCATTGAACTACATGCATGTGTTCGTGAAAATCTTTCAAACTGTTATTCTAAGAAAAAAGACGAAATACGATTACATGTAACTGTAATACTTATGCTAAAGTAATGTCAGATAAGCATAAGTTATTTTCTGCGAAATAAGGGATAATTTCGATAGATTGAAGACGCATTTTTGAACTAGAATGACCCAGAACAACTATTTATTAAGGAGGACGCGCTCTGAAATCGACTCGACTGGACTAAGAGCTATCGGCAGGTTTTGGTATACATAGAAATAATTGAATCATCGGATATTTCTATGTACAAAAATTTGCCTATAGCTCTTGCCGGACGCCGTATAGTAAACTAAAGAATAAACATAAAAAGTATCTACTCGTAGTTGAATTAAGTAGAATAATTCAGCAGCATACTACAGGAAGTGCGTCTTACTAACAATTAAAAACATTTTTGTTTGCATAATAAAACCGTTAAGCAACATGCTAAACAATGTTGATACCTTATCTTGTTCGTTCGACGCACAAATTTAACATTCATCCTTGGCATACAGCCACTCAATTTAAGTTATTTGAAGAGTAAATAAATATTTCCGACCTATATTAACAATATGTGTCTATAGTAAATTAAATAAATTAATTACAGCAAAAGAGCCTAATAAGTAAAAATAGGAGCATAAATAACTTAAAGATTGGTGGTGCATCGGCGTTGGAAACATAGGAAATCACATACAAATTTTGAACTCTCCAAATATTGGTTCTCCTGTTCATTTTATAGCGAAACGGTAAATACGTTTTTTAAAGGTCTGCATATACTGAATATACTTGCCAAATCTGAATCATTTTGAACAAGCCGATTTTAACTAATTTAAGAAAAACTGCACCTATATTACAAATAAACTCATAATCTAACTATAATATGTGATTTAAGTAATACGTCGATATTCATAATTTTTTGAACTTTTTCAAAAATACATTTTCTGTTAGGATTTATTCCGAGCGAGAACACGATTCAATCTGACTAAAACCAATTGAACTAAAAGAAACAGCCGTCTCTTCCAGTTATCTTTGACGTCGACGATTTCCGCATCTAGTTTTTCTACTTTTTCCCCTCGAACCAGAAAATCTTTTTCACCCCTTGATGGAATTGTTCGATGTCGACCGAACTTTGCTTTTAATGCTCTTCTTTTTATAACGGTTTTTGATAGTTTTCCGTTCCTGACAGTCGCGACAGGCATCTAAGTTTCCGCTCTTTTTTTTCCGAAGCCTATTATCTGGATTTCCTGAGTACTATTTTGTGTTTCTGATTTATAAGCTCGAAAAGCGTGTTAAATTTTGCCATTTTGTTTCTCGTATATTAAAAAGTATTTTATCGATTTTATTTGCCTTTAATCCATAAATATTCATACATATAATATATACGTTAGATAAAATAACCATTCGTTAAACAAAATAATTCATTCAATTAAATTACAATATACCGGGTACGTCTCAAAATTGGTTTACCCCTATAATTTTTTCATTTTCTCAGATAAAAAGAAACGAGATTTGGTATGTTTGGTTAAATTAGAATTGATTGACGTATTCAATTATTGTCTTTAGTCACTTCTTGCTTCTCCGGAAATGACTACAACTTTTGTTTTTTAAATAGCACCGTCGGTATATTTCAACTTTATTCGATAGAAAATAACACTCTGAATAGAATGACACGTCATATGTCAACTTTTGACATTTTCGTTTATAAGAAAATTGTATTTTAAATTTCAATCTAGAGTGCCACGGCTGCGTTAAAAACAGTCATTTTTATCAAGGAGCCTGGGAAAAATAGATTTGATGATCTAATGTTTTTCGTGCTTGTCCTGGCTAAAAAGATGCTAACATCGTATTTTTAATTGTTATCTCAATTTTTTCAAATAGAACAAAGGTGCCTCATTAGTATATTTGGAAAAACATATTTTTTACGAATAATTTGGTACCACACACTTGGTATTTCGAGACAACTTGTCGTTATGAACTGCATGTTACAATTTCAAATAAACTATATGCGAATATGTCAGAAGTTGGCGTATATGTCATTCTATTGAGAGTGTAATTTTCTATTATATAAATTAAAAAAATACCGAGGATGTCATTTAAAAATCAAAAGTTGTAGTTATTTCCGGTGAATCAGGAAGGGGCCGAAAAAACATACCAAATCTCATTCTATCTGAAAAAATAAAAACAATTATAGAGGTGAGCCATTTTGGAGACGCACCCGGTATTTACTTATTAGGTAAATATACACGGCGAGTCTTAAATTACTGAAAATATTTTTAGGGGTAGTATACATATTTCGACACCAGAAACACGCATCTGAGTTTTTTTGCAAAAAAATTGAAAATTAGGAATTTTTTGAAAAAAAAATGGAAAAATATTAATTTTTAATCAAAAAACATAATATCATCATAATATGGCAACATAGGTAATATATTAAATTTACAAGAAAAAAAAACGAAAAAGATCCGGTTCTTAAATGCTTAACCAGGGAAAACTAAAAAACGTATTAAATTTACAGCAAAAAACAAAAAAGATCCAGTGGTTCTCAAGATTTAAGCAAAAAATATATATATTTTTTTAATTTTCAAAGTAAAATATTACGACTCCCAACGTGAGTCGAGTACTGAGTATACAAGACTCAAAAAAATCAGGAAATCGATATTTTATTCAGAATATCAGAATCAGTTTAGGTACAACTTTATTATAAAAGTGTGAATTTCGACCGATTCTTAAGAACTAAAGGATTGAAGGCAAAGTCCACTAGTGCATAATAAATGTACCTAAGAAAAATCAAATCTATCCAGCAACAGGGCGGATATACGTAAAGAACCGACGAATAACAAAGGAGTACAAAAATGCAATTAAAATATCTTCCAGTCCAGAAAAGAAATTTCCACTATAAATATTTTAACGGTTACTAGGTTGACTTAATTTGTGAATGGTGAGTACTACGCAATAAAAAATTCTCTGTGTAAATACTTAAAAGACGAAAATAGAATCGAATAAAAAGAATCTGACGGCCACGCATATTTTTACTAACAAACAAAAGGTAATGAGTGCCATTAAAGATATTAGTATGTACTTCGCTGGAATATTTAGAACCTAGTTATTATATACGATTGGATGAAATCTGGTAAAATACGATAAAGAAACAGGATACTGTATAATGTACTAGAGATGTGCGTTGCCTGAAAGATAAGTAGGGAAGAGGCGCTTTAGCGGGTAGGTAGGGTTCAAGAGTTAGCCTACACAGCTGGGCGGATTCTCTGACAGGCGATTGATAAAGGACAACACAAAATCCCTGACAAAATATCTCCTAATCCAAAAAAACTTGAAATATAGAAACTTTAACGGTTACTAGGTCAAGGTAGGATTTAAAAACTCTCTGTTTGAACTATTACAAGCTGATAATAAAGTCCAATAAATATAAATGAAACGGCAAAACATAGTTTTCCCAATATATTCTATAAATAAATGTTAATCAGCTCTATTGTTCTGTGCTTCATACCTTAACTCACATTATCTGGAATGCCTAAAAAATGGTCATATGGTCATATATCTTCTTCTTGCGGTGCAGTGCCTGTCTTTCGGCGTTGGCGATCTCCATGACTATTTCGTTGAAGAGTTCTCTATCTTTTGCTGCATGAAACATCCTCTCCATTCCCAGACCGGACCAGTTCCGTGTGTTTCTCAGCCAGACAGTTTCTTTGGACCTCTCCATCTTCTACCTTCAAGTTTTCCTTGAATGATCAGACGAGGAACACACAATTTGGTGCCGCATATTATGTGTCCGAAGTAGCTGACCTTTCTGGCCTTGATGGTGATTAAGAGTTCCCGATCTTTATTGAGCTGTCCAAGAACTTCGTTGCTTGTATGTTCGGTCCAATAAATATCAAGGATTCTCCGGTAGCACTTTCGACTTTTAGCATCCATGTCTCGCATCCATAAAGAAGATTGGACTATACAGGTTGTCCCAGAAATAAGTGCAAATATTTTAACTGGTAGTATATGTCGGCCTCAGAAACACGCCTATGAGATATTTTTTGCGAAAAAAAATTGAAAATTTGGATTTTTTTTAGTTTTAAGTTAAAAAAACACAATTTCTTGATAATATGGCAACATAGGTAGTAGCTTAAATTTACATGAAAGAAAATACAGAAAAGATCCAGTGGTTCTCAAAATTTTAGCAAAAAAATAATTTTTTTTTGAAATTTTCAAAGTAAACTTAGTCATAATCAAATAAAGATTCTTTTTTTTGTTATTTTGGAAATCGATAACTATTCGAAAAATATCGAGTGGATTGAAATAGTTAAGAAACTTATTGATTATATGACTATGGTACTCTAGTTAAAAAATATAACTTTTAAATATGATCACTGTAAAAATTAAATTATTATAATTACAATTATTATTATCCTATTCTATCCCTTAAACTTCTTGTATAAAATATATAGGTATAAACCATTCTGCAACATATAACCAATATACAATAGCACTAAGCTGTAATAGACCATTATATTTTCCTCTAGTATACTTACGTCTTTTCCGTTGCAGATATGGCATCGTTCTACCGGACAAGCGGAAACGCTTGATTTTTGTCGTTTAATTTTCCCCTAGTACAGACCACGACAGCTAGTACAGAAATCTAACATAAAAGAATGAGAAAGCATTATACAGCTTGCCGATTGGCATAGGTGAATTACCTAACTGCATTGAAAAGTTGGGAGGTTATTCGCGGCAACTTTAGTGATATGGACTATTACAGCAGTAAAAAAAATATTAAATAAAACTGTT